TTATGATCAAGTCAAAATTTAGTCAATCATTAATGGCAATATGGTAAATTAACATATATTGTGGTCAAATGTGTACATTTGACCAATAATTAAGGGTAATCTGGACATTACACATTTACAACACATGACATAGGGCCCACACACACCAATATCGGTCAATACTATCTCTCTCACTTCTTCTCTCTCTCTGTATCTATTTGTATCTATATCTCTGTTGCTTGCATCTTTTGATCCCTCTCTCCACCACCAGACAACTCACGGCGACCGTTCACGGCAAAAATCACGTCTCCCCACGGCAGCATAGCAACTTCGGTCCACGACGTCGTCAATCTCTCTCCAGCGACACGACATCCGCCATGGAAGTCATTGCCGCCGGCGAACCGACTTTTTCTCGTCGTTCTTACGCCTCTGAATATCTTCGCCGGACTTCACTCTCGCAGATGCGTCGCCACTAGCGTCCTTCCCGTAACCCGCACAAAGGCAACGACGGTGTTTGAATGGCCGATTTTCGTTTTTTTTTTTTTTAGCATAAGATTCGTCGAGTTCCCAGCGGCGGACTGTGGTGGCGTCACGTATTGGGCGACGAATACGGCGACGGGGACTGAAACTTCAGGGGCTGAGCTCCGGCGAAGGTGGAGGAGCGTGGTGCAGAAATTGCTTTTTGGATTTGTGGGGTTATTATTTGGGAAATTAGATATATTGTAGGGACTTCATTGCAATTTATTCAAATTTATTTTATTTCAATTCAACACATGAGGCCAATTTGTAATATAATAAAACTTTAACTAATGCACATTAAAATTACATAAATTGCATATTATTATGTGATAATGTTCATATTAAAAAAAGAAAGTCATGTTCTTTTACGAAATTATAGTTTTCCCGATGCCTATACATTTAAAAGTTCACAAATATTGTTTTTAATCAAATAAATATACATAAAAATACAATAATAAAAATAATAGTATTTTTTATGTAGTTCGACCGTTCGATTATTTTGGATATTTAAATAAAAAAAATATAAAAATTATTATCTTTATCTTTTTTTTTGTTATTTGGAGAAAAAAAATAAAATCATACTGAAATAACCGATATAAAATAACAATAATAAAAGTTGACCCAAATATAAAATTTTGTACCGAATTTATATTCGTTGATCTAGTCCGATTATGTGCAATCTAATAGGCATTTACGTGCAACCCGTATAACCAAACGTGCAATCGCAATACATAAAAATATATACGAAAAAAATATTATTAATTACTAAAAAAAATCGATAATATTTTTCATATAGTTCAACATGTTTGGTTATTTGTTTATTTAAATGAAACTAAATCCGACCTTTAACCAAATAATATAATTTGATCGATTAGCATAATTACTTCAATTTTGTTAGATGTAGTGTGTTATGTTATAAGGTGCAACACTTTGTGTTATAAGGTGCAATATATTGTTGTATAAAGTGCAACATATTTAAATATAAGGTGCAATAATGAAATTTTGATATGTTAGAATGTTTTTTTTTTTATGCGACGGATATTGCAATATTAGGTAGATACGTTTTATAGATTTATATTGAGTAATATTTTACTGTGGCAACTGTTGATCTTAATTGTGGATTGAGATGATAAAGTACAATGTGTCGTTTTATAAAGTGCAACATATTGTTTTGTAAAGTGCAACGTTCTGCAATATAAAGTGCGCTAATTTATACATTTATATATAAATTATGTGGATTTGAAAACTAGTTTTAATATATACATAAAGTGCAATGTGTTGTTTTATATGAATTATATCATGTACATACATTTTTTAGATTTATGATGTTGTGGTATTTCGGCGTAAGCTATCGACGTTAATTGTGGATCGTATAAAGTGCAACGTGTTGCTTAATAAAGTGCAACATGTTATTTTGTAAAATTCAATCTACTGATATATAAAGTGAGCTACTTTATATGATCCAGATAAATTATGTGTATTCCAAAATTAGTTTTAGTACATATAATTATCGTGTTGCTTAATAAAGTGCAACGTGCTATTTTATAAAGTGCAGTCTACCAATATATAAAGTGCGCTACTTTATATGATATAATTTATAAATTATGTGTATTCGAAAATTAGTTTTAGTAGATATAATTACACATTGAATTACACTAAATGATTTTAAATAATTTTATTATTTAATATTATTCCTACTTATCAAATTTTTTATTAATTAATACATATATATAGAAAAATTATAAAAACAAAATTTTTTATTAACTTTCACCAATTAGATATTAGGTATGAGGTTTGAATAGAAATGAAACTAAAATGTATATAATTGCAATTAGGTCCTTAAACTCTTTATAATTTTCAAAAAAAAAAAACCAATTTCAATTAAGTCATGGAAGTGAATCAGTGATCGTGATTCTCCTGTAGGCACGGGTCTCCGAGTTTGACGCAATCGGAGACAATCAATCCGTCTGTTTGCACACCCGCACAAGAACCCCTTGCTCGGGGTTGACGGAAGGTCGATTTGGTCGCTATTGAAGGTCGCCGGAGTTGGGCGGAGGTTGGCCCCGAATGTGATGCCGCTGAAGATGAATCTGGATGACTGATGA